GTGTAAATCTAAAAGGAAAAATGACCTTCTCCAGCACTGCATAAGGTTACGTATAAATCCACTGACACAGATGGAATCATCAGTAAAAACTGATCGTGTGACATCCGCTCAGTACAAAATAGCTATTGAAGAACTCACCTTAACATCAGTTATATACTTGACATAGTCGTAGAGCGACTTCATGCAGAGCATTTGCAAGTGATGCGTCATAATAGCAGCTACAGCATTGTAGAAAGACACCACTTTCCTCATCTTACTAGGATCTGGCAGTTTGCCTTTTTTATTTCCTTGCAAAAACACGTCCGTCACTTGGTAAAAATACTGGTCCATAAAGGTAGCTTTGCATTTTTCGATGTGCTTATTCGCCATATACTTGAATTCCTGTAGGTCGAAAGCGCCCTCATGTTCCATCAGTTCGGCTGTATTTATCAGTCTCAAATGTCTGAAATAATAGTTATACAGGGCGTTGAACAGTGGAATTAAACTGTAATCGAATTTAAAAATCTTTGAGGTGAAATTAAAAAGAACACTTTATAAATACCCAAAATTCACAGCGCGGTAATTATGACTGGCAAGAATTGATTCAAAAAATGTGTGTAAGAACAGCTATACAAAACTAACATTGCAGGAATTATGCTAAATAAATCTTCATCAAACAAAAAATTAGGAACAGATTGTTACCGAAAGTCTTAACGAACTAACAAGTTTGAAATGCATGTATCATTCATATAAATCTAGAAGGGAATTTGATTTTCCTTTGAGTTCTAATCACTGGTCAACACTGGTTTTGCCACACGAACTTTAACAGCTAATTTTGTTTTATCAGTCTACCCTCATTATTACATGACAGCTGTCATATGTCTATTAGCCTCATATTTGTTGTGATACGGTAATACTCATAACTAGTACTACGGCAGTAAATTAACAGAAACGCTTACAAGTAAATCCTTATAAAAAATTTGTTGTTGAATTTGAACACTTTTTGTGATTTATTAACCCTGTGAATATGTCGAGGAAGTGTAATAATGATCCTAACCTTTTTGTTATGTCTGCGGAGAACTAACATTCAAAAAACAACGACGAAATTTTACGAATCTTGTGTTGGAGTGTTATCACCAATGTTTTGGTTTTTCTGTCGCCCATCAAGACAAATCCTGGGCCCCTCATGTCTGTTGCATAACGTGTGTGAAAAATTTAACTGACTGGAAGAAAGGTGCACGACCTATGCCGTTTGCTGTACCCATGATATGGACTGAACAGCGAGATCACGTTTCAGATTGCTATTTTTGTCTCACAGACATAAAAGGTATAAATTACAAGAAAAAAACCACAGTTATTTACCCTAACTTATCTTCGGCTATAAGACCAGTCTCTCATTGTAAAAAATTGCCAGAACTAATACCAGTTGCAACTACGTCTGTTGAGAACAATTCACAACCGTCCACTTCAGGTGAATGTGTTGACGAGGACGATGACTTTGAGTTAAAAGGAATTGTAAACGAGCCACATTTGATAACTCAAGGAGACCTAAATGATTTGGTTCGGGATTTAAATTTGTCAAAAAAGCAGTCAGAACTATTAGGATCACGTCTAAAAGAATGGAATTTGCTACATCATAATACAAAAGTTAGCTATTTTCGAAACCGTGATCAACACTTCAGAAACGTATTTTTCTCAGGATGGAGATTTGGTGTTTTGCAATAACATAAATGAGATTATGAAAATGTTGGACATAGATTTTGATCTCTCTCAGTGGCGTTTATTCATTGATTCTTCGAAAGCAAGTCTAAAAGCAGTGTTATTGCATAATGGAAATAAGCTTCCGTCTGTACCTTGGCCCATGCTGCAAATATGAAAGAAACCTATGAAAATATGAAACTTTTACTTGAAAAAATAAATTACAGTACATATTCCTTCAAAATCTGCGGTGATCTTAAAGTTGTTGCACTATTACTTGGACTTCAGCTGGTTATACAAAGTTTTGCTGCTTTTTATGTGAATGGGATAGCCGAGACAGAACTAATCACTATATAAAAAAAACATGGCCTACGCGTGCATCGTTAGTTCCTGGGCAAAAAAACGTAAAGTATTTACCCCTTGTACAGCCAAATAATGTGCTTCTACCACATTGCATATCAAATTAGGATTAATAAAATTTTGTGAAGGCAATGGATCGCAATGGGAGTGGATTTTTGTATCTAAAAGAAAAATTCCCTAAAATAAGTGATGCAAAGATAAAAGAGGGTATTTTTGTTGGCCCTCAAATTAGGGAGTTAATAAAAGATTCAAGATTTGAAGAAAAATTAAGCGATTTAGAAACATCTGCATGGATCTGTTGTTTCAAATTTTTTGGGTAACCACAAGAGTGACAGCTACAGAGAGTTGGTTAGCGAGCTATTATTGTCATATCAAGCATTGGGTTGCAACATGTCACTTAAGATCCATTTTTTAGACTCGCACCTGGATTTTTTTCCTGACAATTTAGGGGCTGTCAGCGACGAGCACGGTGAGAGGTTCCATCAGGACATTTCTAATATGGAAAAGCGGTACCAGGGCAAATGGAGCCCAAATATGTTAGCAGATTACTGCTGGACAATTAAAAGGACCAACCAGAAGCTAAATATTCAAGAAAATCTTAGATTATTAAGTCATTTATAAAAAAAATAACTTTTGATTTACGAGATCTGTGTTTTTCTTAAATTTAATTACTCAATAGAATAAAATCCTTGTCTAGCAATTTTTTTAACTGTTTATTTTTTCTTACAATACCAATTAAAGTAAAAAATATCAAAAAAGTCCGTGTGGCACGACAAAGTTAAAATTTTGTTGACCAGTGTAATCATCGCATAAGCAAATACGTTTTCCATAAAGGTCTATAACGATTTAACCACTTGCCAGAATCAGAAATATTTAAAAACCTTCAAGAAGAAATTGCACTTGTTTTTAAAAGATGTATGAAATCGGCCATATTGGCAATTTGTATTTATAGACAGGCAGAATCCTTGTGTACCTATATGCTATAAGTGAGCCATGAGAGATAAATAAATCGATCCTGCTACTACTATCATTTTACTAAAGGCTATTTCTCTCGTCTTGATTTCTACCAATCACATACGCGCAATTTCGAATTACAAATGAAGGGTACCGGTGAATAACGACAATAGTCCATCCGGACTGATTTTGAGAAAATCGGTAATTAAGGTTTACTTACTTGTTGGAAAGTAAAATTGACGAAAAAATAAGTCGTAAAGAATATCTTTGCTAAACAGTGTGTTTATTGGTAAAACAGATTATACAAATTGAACTTTTACTCAAAACTAGTAACGTAACAAACAAAAGATGATGTTCAACATCATTCATCGACATATGGTCAACTGAGACCGATCAGTCTACTGCCAATTTTTTCTAAAGTATTGGAGCGCGTTGTTTATAAGCAGCTCTGCGCTTACTTATATTCTAACCATGAAGACGAGGACGACAACCACGAGGAGACCGTGGAAGTCGCAGCCGAAATCATGAGGAGTCGACCACCTGGCCAGGAGACGGATCACCCCTCCAGTCCAGAGAAAATCCGTCTGATCATCCGCAGGTTGAAGGTCAGAAAGGGGCCGGGAAGGGACGGCATCAACAACAGGATGCTGAAGAACCTTCCCACCAAGGCATTGCTGCGCTCACCAAACATCGCCAATGCCACTCTGAGACTTAACCACTTCCCGCGGCGGTGGCGGGAAGCCCAGGTTATAATGCTCACCAAGCCAGGCAAGGACCGGAAGTTGCCCCAGAACTACCGGCCCATCAGCCTGGTTTCCTCGATGGGCAAAGTAGTCGAAAAGGCTATCGCCGTTCGACTAGAGAAGCAGGCAGAAGAACTGCAACTTCTCCCCCCAGAGCAATTCGGCTTCAGATCCTCCCACAACACGGAGCTCCAAGCGCTACGACTAACGGAAAACATCACCAGCGGCTTCAATCTCCAGGAGGCAACCGGTCTCGTCCTGCTGGACGCGGAACGAGCCTTCGATCGAGTTTGGCACGATGGACTCATCGCCAAAATGGAAGCCGCCGGAATCGATGCGAACATGTGCCAACTGATCCAGAGCTATCTAACACAAAGATGGTTCACGGTGAAGATTGGTACATGCCATTCAACAAGACGACAGCTGGAAGCAGGCGTGCCCCAGGGGTCAGCCTTAGCCCCCTGCTCTACAACATCTATACTCACGATGTGCCGAAGACAGCTGACACAATGCTGGCCCTATATGCAGACGACACTGCTATAGCCGCCAAGCATAGACGACCCGAGATCATCCGTAGGAGACTACAGGATGAACTGGACCACATCCAGGACTGGTGCGTGAAATGGAAAATCCGCATCAACGTCCAGAAGACGCAGGCAATCTTCATTCAACGAAGAAGGATTGCAAGACCTCTCGAAGCATCCATCTTCGACGAAGATATCCAGTGGAGCGACAGAGTCAAATATCTGGGGATCGTATTTGACAAGTCCTTCACCTGGAAAGCCCACATAGAAGCTGTCATCGCAAAGACCAGAGCAGCCATGGCTCAACTCTACCCATTACTGGGTAGACACAGCCGGATGCCGCTAGCGACCAAGCTACGGCTGATCAAGGCCATCGCCAGACCTCAGCTCGCTTACGCCTCCGCGGTCTGGGGGTACGCTGCCCCCAGCTACCGCAAGCGACTTGCTGCTCTAGAGATGAAGCTACTCCGGATCGCCACCAGTGCACCATCCTACGTAAGAAACTCAACCTTGCGTAGAGACCTGCATTGGGACACCATCCACGAGTACATGAGGAAAAAAGCGGAGAAGACCTTCGAGAAAGCTCAGGACCACCCGAACGAGCAGCTACGATTCCTCATGGACTACGATCCGGACGAGAGGCCTCGCAACCGCAGAACCAGGTACCCTAGACCAAGGTCCCAGTTGGCACCCGCTAACTGGAACCTTGACTAGGAGAATATCCCCCCCCCCCACGGCGTGGATGCAGAGGACCAAGAACCACCGGGACCAGGACCCACCAGGACCAGGACCCTTCAGGACCAGGACCAGGAACAACATATTGGTAAGAGGACTTGAAACTCTTGATTTTTCGAAACAAGAGTTTCAAGAGAATCTAGCAGACCCTCTATCGATGATCGCTTAACGACATCGATAGAATGTGCGAGGTAAAGGGAACCAACCGGGCGTTCCCAGAGACTGAAACACATGAGGAGACGTTGTAGCAGACCGCAGGTCACGCACAACACATGGCCTACCGAGACGCTGATGAGTCGGGCCACGCGGAGGTTTAGGGTTTAGTGGGTATTAGGTGATCTCCTCAAGACCCTGGAGTCCCACACACGCTGTAGCTCGGGCTATGGTATGGTGCGTAAATGCATTCCCCCCTCACCAAAAAAAAAAAAATATATTCTAACAAAATTATTCCATCTAAACAATCTGGATTTCGACAGGGTCATAATACAGCTTCGGCACTCTGTGATTTAACAGACAATATAACAATGGCACTTGATAACCAAACATCAGTAGCTCTCATACTTCTTGATTTTACTAAAGTATTTGACACCATTAATCACTCACTTCTTGTGTCTAAATGCAGTTATTATGGATTTTCTGAAAAACCTCTTTCGTTTATTCAAACCTACCTTGAAAATCGGTATAAAAAAGTTCGTCTAAATCAACAGTACTCTACCGAACAAAACATTTGTTCTGGTGTGCCACAAGGATCAGTCGTAGGACCCCTATGATTTTCATTATATATCTCAGATTTAGAAACAGGGGTAAAATCATGCAGCTTACAAATAAAAATAGTTGCTCTTATGATATATTTCTTATGACAAATTTACAGGTTACCTGTAACTAGAGTACCATATATCTGGCAAAGCGGCTAGACAAGGATTAACTATATGCAGGTTTCTTGCAATCTTGACTTTCGCCGATGCGAAGTTTGCCCTAAAACTGGTCCCAGTTTGCTTCATCTCCTGTTTGAAAGCATTGTCTATTTCAGCGGATGTCCTTACAAAGGATGGATCTTGAAGGACAAAGTCTATGATCGCTTTCTTTACAGCCATCATGAAATCGTCTTTCACGTCTTGGACTGATTCCGCTAGAGTTTTCTCCCATACCATCAGTTTCCTCGGTACTAATGATAGCACCTACAAGTTAACTGCTATAAGACATATGGCAAACATTTTGAAGTCACTATCGCTACAATTACTATTTTTTTGACAATATGGCCTCACCATGTATACTTTATCTGAAGTCACTTGAAACACTGTGAAATACCGGGTGCGTTTTATATATCTATATTTAACACGCTGTCTGGGCTGCTTTAAAAAAAAAGTAAGAAAACATAATCAGACCCCTCAATTAAGTGAATCGCTATTGGCCACAATAAGAGATGCAGTATCTCATATTGCTGCCACAGACCTATGGAAGCAGTGTTCTAGGCATATTATTGAAAAAGAAAATGAATATTGTGTTTTGCCTCCTGTAAATCCCGTTGTAATTCCTCTACAAGATGACTCTAGCGACAGCTCCGAAGGCGAGGATGATATATAAATACCTATAATGTAAGTCTTTATATAGCTTTTTATATACCTACCTGCTATGTAAATATTTGCCTATGTCAAACGTTGAAATTCTGTGATTTTTCCATTTCTTAACTTTCAGTCAATATAAATTAAACGCCCAATATAAGTATTTTTTATCCCAAATCAAAAAAATAAGAAGATAGTAAAATCAATTTATTGTGATATAAAAACATTATTATTATCGTTCTAAATAAATGCCGCACGCCTATGATACGTCATGAAATTACAAAGGACGCGCCGACCAAAGGTTTTTATGCTATTTCAAGTGACTTCAGATACACCATACAGTGTGTTAAGAAAATAATATTCGTAACTTCAAGAGGTGATTTCTTGGATTATTCTAAGCAAAAAGTTCGTTATAACCTATGTCCGAAAATCAAACGTTTCGGATCAAAAAAATGCTAAACTTATTCCTTTTTAGTCATGAAATAAATTAATTTGCACCTTAATAATTCAAATTCGTATGCCTAATAGCGTAAAATGTATCAATACATCTAGTTATTAATTTTCTTGCTTATTAAATACAATTTTCCGAAGAAAAACAGACAAACAAGATCCCTCACCCAACTGGCAACGTCGTACTCCGCCTGCACTGCATGAATCATCGCGTGTTTTTGTGATTACTTATACATTTAACTGTAACCTTATGTGATTTAGGGATGTTGTTCTTTTTTCTTTTTTCGTGTATCGCATCGTTTCAAATAAGTGACTCGTAATCGTGGGAATTGGTGGTGTGTATCGCCACATACCGGAAAGTTCTGTCATTTTATTTTTAAGTAAATAATAATAATAATAATATTTATTTACTCTAAAATACAGGGAACATGAAACGAGTAAATAAATATAATATATCCATAGGAGGACAACGCCTGTGCATGGATCATATGTATGTTGAATTGCAAAATATAATAAAATAGAGAGAAAAAAGAAATTATTGGCAAGAATGGTAGAGCATTTATTGTGTAATATTTGAGATTATTTTATTAATTTGATTTCTCCCAATCGTGTTAATAAATTTTTTTAATTTTTTTTGAAGCCTAATGTATTGCGTAATTGTTTTAAATTATTTGGTAAATGTTCGTACAATTTTGGAGCTATATACAGGTGACATCGTTTCATTAGGGATTTGTTTGGTTTAGGAACATTTTTTGCGCGTAGTTTATATCTGGTTTTATGATTATGGTTAATTATGTCGTGTTCACTAATAGGTTTGTGATAATGAGTGATGGTATGTAAGAAGTAAAGTTGTTTAGTATCATATACTTGTGCATCATTATATAAGTCATTAGTTGGGTATAATTTTGATTTGCCTAACATTGATTTTAAAATTCTTCTTTGAAGTACATCTAAATCGTTAAAGTATGTCGTGCATGCAGCACCCCACACTACTATACCATATGTTATGTGTGGCTCGACTAAAGCTTGATATATTATTCGTAGATAATATTCAGTTAATATACCGGTTAGAAATTTTATTTTATATGCTATGAATCTAATTTTCTTTAGTATGTGAGAAATATGTACATCCCATCTCAAGTGGGGATCTAGATAAATTCCTAAATATTTTGTATCATTAACTCTATTGATTTTTATATTTTTATCATTTACATGAAACCGAAGGTGGTTATATTTTGGTAGATGATTAGATAGTGATGAAAATGGTAAAAAATGAGTTTTAGTGAAGTTAATTTTTAATTTTCGGTTATTAAACCACTGAATAATTTTGCAAAAGTCATTTTGGATAATATCTTTTAAGTCGTTCCAATCCTTACCTTTATAGAGTATAGCAGTATCGTCTGCAAAACTGACTATTTTACCAGTACTGTTAATTTTGAATATATCGTTTAAATAAATATTGAATAACAGAGGACCCAAAATTGTACCTTGTGGAACACCACATTTAACAAACATTTCTTTACTATACGAGCTTAATAATTTTACTGATTGCGGTCTATTTGATAAATAATTTTCCATTAAAGTATACATCTTTCCACGAAAACCTATTCTTTCTAAGATTTCCAAAAGTATATTGTGGTTAACTGTGTCAAACGCTTTTTGTAAGTCCACAAATACGCATATCGATGGTACTTTTCCATCTATATTTTGGGTTATTTCATCTATTATACTTAATACCCCATCTGTTGTAGATTTGCCCGCTATAAAACCATATTGATTTGAATTTAGAATTTTGAATTTATTAAGAAAATTAATCATTTATTAAGGAGTAATTTCTCAAAAACTTTAGCTAAACTTGATATAAGTGATAGGTCGATAGTTAGTGACGTCCGTATTATCATTAGATTTATAGATAGGTATGATGATTGCTGTCTTGAAAGCTGATGGAAATACTCCAGATTGGAAGGATTTGTTAATGATATAAGCAAGTGGTTCTGTTATTTGTTTGGCCAGTATCTTTAGATGTTCAGCTCTAATTTCGTCAACTCCAGGGCTTTTTTTATTTTTTAGAGTCATAATGGCATTGAAAACATACTGATAGTCTACTTCAGTTAATACAAATGAATTATTCAGTCTTGTTTCATGCAGATGAATATCAGCATTTTGTTTGGTATTATTTGCTAAGTTTCCTCCTATATTCGTGAAAAATTCTATGAACTCATCACATATTTGCTGAATATTGTCTGTTTTCTGTTCTGTTTTTGTTTTTATTTCATTAATATTGTTTTTTGAATAGGATGACTTATTGAATATATCATTGACAGTGGACCATAGGTGTCTAGAGTCATGTGAATTATTATTCAACTGTTTTATATAGTAATTTTTTTTTGCTTTTCTCAAAAGTTCTATAAATTTGGTTTTATACTGATTATAATGATCTATATTTTCTTTCGTGGGTAAATATTTCATGATTTTATACAGTGTTTCTTTTTCGTTTGCAGATTTTGTATTATTAAATAAAAAATATTAGCCACAAAAAATGCGTAAAAGAATTCAATAATTTAAGGCATATTTTCAACAAAAATATCATACAAACGTAAATAATTCGATGAATCAGTTGCGGTCGTCGTGCGCTCGTATCGCGGTTGCGTTGCAGCGTTGCCAAATGTTTGAGAAAATTTAATTATTTACGACTCACTTTATATAATATAATGGACTTTTTTGCTTAAAATAATGCAAGAAATCACCTGTTAAAGTTTCGAATATTATTTCCCTAACACCCCTATACAGGGTGGCCCATCCATGTGTGGACGGAATATTACTCATAAAAAAATACATTTTGGGAAATTCTATTTATGGCATGTTATACATGACATTTGAGGGCCCATTTCTAAAATATTGGCAATTATACAGGGTGTTCCAATTTCGACCTACATATCAAAGTTGTGAATTTTCAAATAGAATGTCTTAAATTTTATTGCATATTTGGATCAATTAATTCGAAAGACGAAAATTGATATAACCATACTATGGGATTTTGGTAATTGGTTACTGAGATATAAGGTGTTTTGCTAGAAAAGCCCCCTACTTCGGCAACCCCTCAGTCCGCCATTCTGAAACTTGGAGTGCTGAATCAAAAAAAACCTACACATCTCAGCTTTTTTATCCTGCTTGTTACTTTTTAGCAAGTTATTTTTTGCAAAAACGCAACCTGTAGTTTTTCTCAAAAATTTCAAATGCATCACCCTGTATATTTGTGCAAGTTTGGATTCAGTTTTTCATAAGCTTTTTGTTGATACTAGATACATAAGGGTTTTTTATGTATAACATCCCATAAATATATTTTCCCAAAATGTATTTGTTTATGAGTTATATTCCATCCACACATGGATGGGCCACCCTGTATATAGATCCAAACTGTCGTTAGAGCTGGTGAAGGATTTGTTTAAGGATCATATTTGCATAGTTGTACAAATTTTCAGTAACTAAACTGGTGGACAGTTGCTTTCGACAATTTTAACCAAATTCGAATCTCGATATTTTCGGAAGGGAAAAAGATAAAATGTTGCGATATTCGGAAGGTTCTTAACCAGCTCTTTAAGAACACGTACAGGATTTAACTGATATATTCCTTCTGGTAATCCACTTATCCAGGGTGAGCAATGAAAGTCAGGTTTTATTAGCAAAGTGGCACTATGTCAAATTCTCAATTTTTGATCATGTAAATTTATCTATGCATCTTTTTGATCTTTGGACTGCCTTGAAATAAGCAATTTTCCGAACGTTGACTATTACTCAAGCTATCGAATTTTGGAAAAATGTTACATTCATCCCTCTAAAAAGGGACTTTTTTGGGGTTTCTGTTGAGAATGGGTATTTTTTCTCGTACTGTTGCATAAACGGGAATTTCTTCCGCCCGAAAAAAGATTGAAGCACTCATTGAACGTTCTTTCGTCTAATGACGTACAAAACAAATTTGCTACTTTAACATTCTGTAATTTAAACCGAATTTATAAATATTACCATGCAATTAAACAGCTTAACGAACAAACAAAAAAATGTGATTCAAATCGTTTCAAAAAGGCGACATCGTGTCATGATTATGTAGGTTCACTCAGGTACGATGAAAATTCGACCTC